AAAAAAAAAAAAAAGCAATTCCAGCCTTTCTTTGCATTTCACCTGTTTAGGATGTGCCCCAAGCTTCCACATTCTCTTTAGTCACTGTGTCCCAAGTCCCTACTGGTCTGTGAGGTTTTGAGTCTGTTCTCATTACCTTGGTGTCTTGAAAGTCTCCAGTCTGAGTTGCTCTGACACCTGCATCCAGGGTTACTGAAGGGGGCCAGGTAGAGACATGGGCTTTGGTTGGATCACGGGGCCACCCTCCTCACACCCTCAGATGAGGTCCATGTGGGCTCACTGGTGAAGGCAGCTTCTTGTTGGGCTAAGTTTGCAAGTTTTTTGTCGTAAGATTTATTTGGTGCAGGGTCTTGTTACACAGCTTGGACTCATAGTGATCCTCCTCTCACTTCCCAGCTCTGGGATTACAGGCCTGCCCTACCAACTCCCAGTTTCAGTGGTCCGCACATACAGCACAGGCCAGCACAGTATGCAGTACTACTGGGGGTCGAACCTGGGTCCTTTTTGCTTGCCTGGCATGCGCTTAGACTGCCGAGCTATCTCCCTGGCCCAGTTGACAAGTTTTCTTTACTCTTCAGTAGAAAGTCAATCTAGCTGACCCTCATGTGGTGGTCATGTGAGTGGCGGTTATGTGAGAAGGGGCAGGAATTAGGCTTCCCTGCCTGAGTGCCCAGCATGGACCACCTGTAATCCCAGTAACTGGAAGCTGAGACAGGTACAAAATCTGAGCCCAGCATGGGCAATTTAGAGAAACCCTGTTTCAAAAAATAGGCCCAGCTGCTGGCCTTTCCCCTATCCTTTTAGTTTCTTCAATTATATCTTATAAACAGCCCCGTGCCAGCCTCATCACCCCCACCCACCCTTAGTAGCTCAAGGTAGAAGCTTAGTGTGGTGGCACAGGCCTGTAATCTCAGCACTAGAGAGGCTGAGGCAGGAGGATCACAAGGACAAACCCAGCCTGGACAGCTAAGCAGTTTATTAAGACACTGTTTCAAAAAAAAAATTTTTTTTTAAGGGCTGGGGATATTACTCAAGTAAGAACATCACTGGGCTTAATCCCTAGTACCAAAAAGTAATTTTTCCACATAATTTTTGGTGATGACCTGTCCAAAGCTGGGGCTGATATGCTCACAGCCTGGGCAGTTGCCTGGCCTGCCCTTCTTGTCATTCCCTGCCCTGTCTTGGCCTAGTAGGGCCACTGCAATGGGAACCACTTGAGGTTGCCAGGCCTGCAATGGGGTGGGTGAAGGTCAGGTACAAAGGTGGCCAGGAAACCCATGCTTACTTTTCCTGTCCTTTCTCTCATCTGGGGCAGTGTCTGTGTAGGGGCCTGTTGGCAGGGTGGCCTCCTGGGAAGGTCCTGTTGTGGGCAACAGGGGCCTCTGCAGAGGTCTTTGAGGTGGGAGGTACAGGTGGGGCCTGAGGCAAGGTGGGGCTGGACATGAGGAGGATGTGGGCTCACGAGGGCCAGGGAACCCAGGCAAGCAGAGATGTGTGTTGGGACAGTACAAGACCTGGCTCAGGGCCCGTGTGGTCCTAGCTCTGTGCCAACTGAGCTGGTCTGGGATAGGTGGTTCCTAGGGTACACAGAGCACACCCACTTCTGGCCTTTGTATGTTCTCAGGGCCCCTGGAGAACACCACCAAGACTCATCAAAGGTACAACCCACATCTACTTAGGTGTGGGTACTAGATATATTGAACATCAACTAAAAAATCCTCTCAAAATGTCAATAAAAGTCAAACGATTAATAGTAAGAAACATTTCAAAACAACAATACAAAGACTGGGCTCTTAGCTGAAAGAACACAAATAACAAAGTGAAAAAGAGCTTGTGGATTCAGGTTCCACCAATCCTCAGAAAATCATGGCCATTGGTGACCACTGTGGCTGCTTCTGCACAGGCTCCATGGTAGAAGCCCCCTGCTGTAAAGAATCAAAGCTAAACTCAACTTTCCTTACTCAGTTTGGTACTTAAAATAGGTCATTAAGTTATAGTCCTCTTCCAAGTCCAGAACGGTCTCAATGATACTCTGATCATCAAAAGCCTGCTTGACGCTGCCAGGATCAGTATCCAAGGCTTTCAGAGGACTCTCGTCCAGAAGCAGGGCCCACGCCTCCTCCTGGAAGGGTGACTCTTGGCAGTGACCACACACACGGTTCAATTCATTTTCAAATTCTAGTTTTCCAGCCAATTCTTCAATAGTTCGGATGCTTGTATGGTCTTAAAAATAAGAACATTGAAAAATAAATAAAAAGAACATTGGGCTTTGTAGTTACAGTGAGTAGTTTCTAAAAACATTTCAGACACAAGTTAAAAACCATGAATGGAAGCCTGGGGTGGTGGCACACACCTGTAATTCTAGTACTTGGGAAGCTGACGGAAGAGGATTACCACAAGTTCAAGGCCAGCCTGGGCTGCATAGTTAGATTCCATCAAAAACCAACCAAACATTATGAATGGGCAGTCAGTCTTTGCAGACTGTGAAGAGCCTGGGCAGTCTTACCCCAGGACAGACAGGTTTGGTGCCCTCCTTTCTGACCCTGCCATCTATCCAGCTCCAACCACCTGCCTAGGCCCAAGGAAGGTGTGAGTGGGAAGGTACTGAAATGCATAGCCTGTCCTGTTTCCTGGGGAAGTCCCTCACCTGCAGGAATGACACATGAACACAGGGTCCCTGAGGTAACCAAAATACTGCCTGGGAGGGTGAGGGCTAAGGTGATGGCAGGCAAAAGGCAAATGCAGTGATGGGTATAGGCCTCCTAAGGGGGCTTGGTCCACTGAAGGTGCAGGCTGGCAGAAGTTTTATGGCTTAAGTAAGTAGCTCCCCCATCAGGGCTGAAGATCCTTCAGAACCAACAGCTTCAGACCACACCCATGGCTCTGTATCCCTCAACTAGGAACTGGGTGCACACAGGGCTCATGAAAAAAAAGTGCGGCATACATAGGAAGAATGAAAGTGTGCAAACTACATTAAGCAAGGCTGGGGAGGAGGATAGGAGGACTCAGATGCTTAGCCACCTTCTGCCCTGGTCCCCTCCACAGCTGGATGCCTCTCTCTTCCTCTTGGCCTGTGACCCAATTCCTTCAGATCTAACTTACCTTCTGGGGCTCACACAAACCAGACTTTTATAAAATGACCTGATCAATGTGTGGCTTCACTGGGTCACACTTCTATAAAGGCATGGACAGGGTTTGATTAATTCACTGCTCTATAAATAGAATCAGCTGAGAGCAAAATTAATAGATGATATATAAATGAGTTTCTCTTGTGTTTCACCCAAGTCTTACGGTAAGTCTGGGCCTGTGTGAAGCAGAATGGCTGGGGCCTCCTCACTCACCGATCATATCAAGTAGATCCTTTGTGACTTCTTGGCTACAGCTGCTGAGGAGCACGTTTGAGTCAACTTTGACCTCTCCCTCCATATCTTTCCTGCAGCCCCCCAAGTAGGGGAGGGGAAAAGGTGGAGAATTACAGCCTCTTTCAAGAAAAATATCTCAGTATTAGATAATCTAAAAGACAAACTGATGATGACTTTAAATTGTCATTTATTTTGTGGTTAGAGGGTATTCAGAAACTACTAACATCAGTTAAACAGATTATCACAACTCTACAGGCGACACTTCTTATAAATACCAATGTACGAGTTAAATTGCTCTTTTTACCCCTTTTTTGGGGCAGCATGATGGGGACTGAAATTACATCCACCACAGTCGTCCTTGCCCTAAGTCATGGGGACTGGACCCAGGCAGTTCGAACCTGATTGAGGGAGAGTAGGGAGACAACCCAGAGATGTGGAAAGGGCTTCGAGGCAGGGGAGGGGAGCAGCAGGGCAGGGTCAGAAGTTGGGCCCAGCTGCCTCTGAGGGCAAAGGAGCTCTGGGCAAAGGGGAGTACCAAAGGCCCCAGTTCAAACACAACTGCTCAGGTTAATACCCCCTCTGCCAGGTGGTGCCGCGGCTGGCTTGATACCCAGGCCCAGGCTCTCAAGCAAAACAAAACAAAAACGTAACTGCTTCTGGGCCAGATGCTGAGGAATGTGTGAACTTCCCCAAGTCTCACTGCTCCCCAGCAGAGGATCAAGGGCATCCTCAACAATTTTTCATAAACAAGAACCTCCTTCATCATGGCTATTACCCTATCAAATGACAGTCACCTCAAGCCTTTTTCCTTCCAGTTCTCCCCGTCTCCCGCAGCTCTCCAGACCGAGGGGGGCATCAGCACATTCTCCTTGCTGCTCAGAGGTTTTCTCCGAGGGCACGAAGGCTGCGGCTTGGGGCCCACCAGCCCGCAGGGCGGCGCGCAGGCCGGGCTCTCCCTAGCCCCGCGCAGCAGCGTGTGCCCAGGCAGGGAACCGGGAGCCAGGCTGGGCTCCTGGGAACGCCTGAGCCCTTCCAAGGCCCGGTCAATGGCCGCAGTCAGCTCCTTTCTGCATCTTCTTAGTTTTTCAGACATGTCCCTAAAAGCGACCACGTTCTTGTTACGTGACACACCAGAACTGCATGGGGCAGGAGGGAGCTCGATGTCACCGAGGGCTGCCCGTTCCTCCACCGAAGGGCAGCATGGAGGCCCAGCCTGCACCACCCTCGTCCCCACGGCCCGTGACCACGTGGCTGCCCCAGCCGCCCATGGGCCCAGCAACAACGCACCATGACCCCACCCCACCCTGCTCCTCACCTTACACCATCTACACCACCACCACCACCGACCAACGGTCACTGGCACTGCGTCACTGCGCCTGCCCCAGACCACCAAGCTCCAAGGCCCAGGTCAAAGGTCAGGCAGCACCGCCCACCGCTCCAGCCGCCAGAGGGAGCCACGGAGAGCCAGGAGGACAGAGGTGGCAGTTACTGTTCTCCAGCGCTCTGAGCCTTTGGGGGACACCACCAAAGGAGCGGAACTGGACACACTCAGCAGTTTTTTGTTGTTTTTTTTTTTTTTTTGGCTGAACCGGGGATTGAACTCAGGCCCTTGCAAGCGCTTATTCTGCTATCTCCCCGGCCCCTTTTTCTTTTTTTTTTTTTTTTTAACTCAGCAGGTTTTTAAAGGGATTTCTAATAAAAGTGACACAGAGGGCCTGAGAGATAGCTCAGCGGACTAAGCGCCTGCTTTGGCAAGTGCCAGGCCCGGGGTTCCATCCCTGGTCTTGGCCACACTGAGCCAGGGACCAAGTCTGGACATTCCAGCACTGGGGAGGCTGAAAACAGTAGGATCACTATGAGTCCGAGCTGTGTAGTGAGATCCTGTACCAAATACGTAAATGAAAAAAGGAAGAAAAAAAAAAAAAAAGTGACACAGAGTCAGATCAAGGGGAGGTGGCAGTCCTCAAGGGGAGGGGGCAGAACAGCACCATTATAGAGGTTCCAGGCAGAAGTACCTCAACCTGGAGTCACTTCATGCAGTAGGAGCAGGAAGGCAGAAGTTCCAAGGACTGAACACAGAAACGGAACAGGCTTCAGTAGCTAATTTTTATAAAATTATAAACCCATGTCAATGAACAGCAAAAGACAAGGGGACAATATCAAGTTTACTTGAGGCTTGGTTTACCATGGCTCCACTACGATGGTGACCCGGATGGGCACCAGAAGCACAGGCCCCGCTGAACCCTGCCCATGTCTTCCCCACCCCAGGGCTCTAGCTGGCCGCTCCACCATGCCCGCACTGTGGTTCAAGTCCACAAGCTTCTCACACCACCAGTTTTAAAAGCACTTTCAGCCTCTGAGCAAATGGGCTTTCTCATGTCACAAAAAAAGGGAGTTTTTTTCCTGTGTTTTTCACATCCAGTGGCTGTCTCCTGGAGATGGCAATGGTGCCGTGGGGTGGCAGGGTCCCTGAGTTACATCAGTTGGTGTCCATGCTGCAAGCCTCATCATCCCCCAGTCCCTGTTGCGAGCTGCCTGGCCTCATCCCTCCGTCACAGGAACCAGGGAAGCAGGGGAGCGGAGGCTCCTTGCACTCGTCTTCATCCCGACGCTGGTAAAACAGCACATATGCAGCCTTCGTCTAGAACATGGAGAAAAGTCCATTCACTGTGTTGAAAAAAAAACAAGGGACCATTTTCCCTACCGTTTCTTTCCTTATTGAACACTTCCAGAGATTGGCCACCTTGCCCCGCATGCTGGAGGTGACCAGGAAGGCCCTGATGCCTGGGGATGGGTGCTGCTGCCCCAGCTGGGAAGGGCAGGCGCTGTGTGACACAGAACCTGGAGGAAAACTGTGCTTCTCCTTTAGGGAGGGTCTCAGCAGAAGCAGCAGCCCAAGCCATCAATCCGCAGCCCTGGTCTACTACAGGCCTGCAACACGGGCTGCCCGTTAGCCCAGCAGGGCAGGCAGCAGCAGCATGATGAGCACAGGGCAGTGCACTCACCACGATCTGGTCCTCCGAGGCCAGGGACACGCTGCTGTCATCAAAGTAATACCATTTCCCACTGAACTTGTTCTTCGCATATGCAGTGTCTGCCAAGCAACATGGAAAATATTCTAGCAGTCATCAGGACTTAAGTCAGCTAATTTATCAGACTTGCATTACACATAGACAGACACACACACAGTACGAATAGTTTGTGCCCTAAAGATCAAAACATTTTTTTTCTCAGTTGACTGAGACAGGTTCTTGTGAAGTAGTTCAGGCTGACTTTGAACTCACTATGTAGCCTAAGCTGGCCTCCAACTCACAGTGATCTTCCTGCCTCAACCTCCCAACTGGTGGGATTACAGGCATGTATCGCTACACCCAGCTTTATTTTCTGAAGCAAGATCTTGTTATGCCCAGGCTGGGTTCAAACTTCTGATCCTCTTGCCTCAGCTTCCCGAGTGCTGCTATTACAGAAGCATCCTATAATAATAGCTTTATTTCATTTTATAATAGCTTTAAACTATAATTTTGGAAAACTAATCCAAAAATGAGTGTTATCTACTATCAATCAATTTTATGGATAGCTAGAAACAATAACCCAGAGCCAGGGGATTCATAAAAGTCTATTTAACCGGACAACAGCTCTCAAATCAGTGGGCCAAGGTGATCTCCACAAGCTGTCCAGACAGAGGGCTGCTACGTTCAGCAGAAAGCACAGGGCCTCTGGAACCTGAAGTGTAATCTCAAAGGACGCTTGGTTTGTACAGCTGGGATTTGAACAGGTGGCCTGAATTTCTTCCTCTCAAACTGTGCAAGGAAGGAGTCTTTATTAAGTAATAATTTCTCTTGCAGGTCGGGGCCCTTACCACAGCCTATGTTTTCCATCTGCATTTTACTCTCTAAGCAGTAGGTGTATGTAAGAAACCCAACAGGCAGGCCCAACCTAAAACACTACAAAATCTAAGGAAATTATGGTATCCAGTCACAATGGCCAGAGTAACTAAGTACAGCTGTTTAATGCTTCTGCCTTAGATTCCCAATACCCACTGCCTTCAGAGTGGGAAGAGATCACCAGAAAAGGGCTAAGCCCAGTTGTACCATATCTGACAAACAGCAGAAACAAGTTTCCAGCCTTGGGATTCTATCTAGGGCCCTGATATGAGTGCTCATGTGAGCCTCATCTCCTGGGTGAGAAAATTTAGCCTTATAAGTCAAAATGCAATTAAAAAAAAAAAACTTTTGACCAGTGTATGTGAATATAGGCAGACATCAAAGTTAATTTTGAAGGGGCTGGGGAGATGGCTCAGTGGAATAATTGCTTCCTTGGCAAGCACAAGGACCTGAGTTCAATCCCCGGTTCCACAAAAAAAAAAATTTCCAAAGTTAATTTTGAGAGGAAAAAAGCAAGTTAACAGAACCATAACCACTGTAAGACATGAACTGATCAGAAATTACAGCCATTGGATGTGAGGGCGATCTGGCTGCAACATCTGTCACCCCATTGATCGCCAGAGTTGATTCGGCTGATCTGGCTGGCGAGGTGAGTGTCCCCTGCCTCTCTCAAAGATCCATGTGCGTCCCTCCCAAAGCTGTGCGCTCGAAGAGGATGACCACCCCTGATAGAGGAGGACCGTTCCTTGGTCAAGGGTACAAGAGTAGTTGCGCTCCCCTGCTAGAACCTCCAAACAAGCTCTCAAGAAATTACAGCCATTTTGGCAGGGTCCCAACTCTCACACAGGCAGTTTTGTTTCCCCAGTCCCAGTGTAGCTAAGGAGCTAACTGTAATCAGTGCTATGTACAGGGAGCAGCCTAGATGGACTGTGGAGGGCTGCCATTGTCTCTTCTGATAGCACAGAATCCAAATCTGAGGACTGGAGACTGGAAAAATCAAGTTGGGCAACTGTCAACCCAGCCACTTGGGAGGTTGAAGCAGGATTTCATTATCAAAGGCCAGCCAGTCTCACATACATAGTAAGTTCAAGGTCATTCTAGACTACATTGAGACCTACCTCAAACAAAACAAGCAAGTACATAAAAAATAATTTTTAAAATGGACAGGGCAGGGCCACAGAGATAGCTCTAGCTTGTGGTCTAAGTGCTTCCCTGGCAAGTGCAAGGACCTGGGTTTGATCCCCCATGCTGTGCTGCCCCACCCCGGGCATGCCATGCAGGCCACCAAACTGGGCATGGTGGTACACACCTGCAATCCCAGCAGCTGTGGGGACTGAGACAGGAGGATCATTACAAGTCTAAGCTGTGTAGTACAACTCTGCACCAATAAAAAAATTAAAAATAATAAAAAATGGGCATGGCAACAGCACTAAAGAGCTTGAATCTGGGCCTGTGGAATTGTGAGTCAAGTGTATATGGCGCCGGGACAAGGCATTTCAACACCACCAAAGGAAGCAGAGGTCAGTACTTACAGTGGCCAACTCCCATGGCTCCATAGTGATTGGACACAGCAATGAGGTCGTACATGTAAGGCCTGGCTGATGGGTCACAGACAAACTCGGACATGTTCAAAGCTCTGAGTACAACACAAGAACAACTCTTAGATATGTTAAAGTGAGATAAGCATGAGCAACCTAGCAACTCCCTTCAACCAACAGGCTCTGATACAGGGAGGCACTCAAAAACCTATTTAAGAATAAAATAAAAGAGCAAGCAGGTAAGGCATGTGCACACCTATACTCAGGCAGGAAGCAAGAGCATCTTAAGTTGGAGGCCATCCTGAGCAACTCAGCAAGATCCTATCTTAGAATAAAATGAAGGGGTTGGGCCAGCCAGCCAGCTCAGCAGATTGAAGCCCTGCTTAGGCAGACACAGGAGCCAGGGGTTTGGTCCCCAGCCTGCCAAGCCAGCTCTGCCCCCAGAGCACACCAAGACAGCAATGGAGACTGGGCGTGGTGGTGTGTGCCTGTAATCTCAGCACATGCGAGACTGAAAACAGGATCACTACAAATCTGATCTGCATAGTGAGACCCTGTACTAAATACTTATTTTTAAAAAATGAATAAATGAAATGAAATGAAAAGGTGCAGCTGTTGCTCATGGTAGGATGCTTGCCTAGCATTCTGCAAGGCCCTGGCTCAATCCTCATTATGATAAAAATAAAAACAGACCATAGCAGAGGGATGCTAGGGACTGTAGCCTGACCCATGACACCTTCAGGCCCAACACTAAAGCCACCTCCTACGTAACTGCAATGACAAACCTGATAGGGAGGTAAGGGCCTGGGATTAGGAACTAGGTAAGAGTGGCTATTACTAACAGCATTACAAATGCTGCTGCCAGGGCCAGGACCAGGGCCATTTAGCTCAGCGGACTAAAGCGCCTGCTCAGGCAGAGCGCAGCAACTGGGGTTCAAGCCCTGGTGTGCTGTGCTGGCCCCACCCCCAGGGCACACCAAGATGGTGATTTGAGACTGGGTCTGGTGGCACATGCCTGTAATTTCAGCGCTTGGGAAGCTGAAAACAGAAGAATCACTGAATCCAATCTATGTAGTGAGATAAAAAAAAAAAAAATTTAAAAGAAAAAATGCTGCTGCCAGGATTTAAATATCAAAACTAGGCACCAGAAACCTTTTTTCTTTCCTTTTTTGGATTTAATTATGGTATTTCTTTGTTGATTTGTCTAGCTGATGTTTGTGACAGTGGGGTATTGAGGTCCCCCATTACAACTGTACTAGTGTTTATATGATTTTCATGTGTGCTAATATGTCATTTATAGTCAAACGTGTCAGTATTTGCCAAGTCAAGCACGCTGGTTTTATATATATATTTATTTCTTCCTCTTGGATTGCTCCCTTTACAAAGATGAAGCGACTTCGCTTTTTGTTTTTTTGTTCACTCAGCCCACCCTGAAGGCAGGGCTAGTGAGATAGAACCTCAGTGCTGACCAGGCCTGCCTAAGCTTGCCTAAGCAGGTGCTTTAGACTGCTGAGCTATCTCGTCAGCCCATATCTGTCTCTCTCAATATCTTGGCTTGCAATCATTTTGTCAGCAAATAGGTGGCCCTGTTTTGGGGGGGGTTCTTTAGGCACTTTGTTATGTAAATATCTTACCCTCCATCTTTTTTTTTTTTTTTTCCAGTACCAGGGATTGAACTCAGGCCCTTGCTCCTGCCAGGCAACCTCCATCATTTTTTTTTTTTTTTGCGGTACCAGGGATGGAACTAAGGACCCTGCACTTGCCTGGCAGGTGCTTGTGCCCCTGAGCTATATCCATGGCCCCTAACCTCCATCAATTTTGAAAGACAGTTTTTGGGTTATATCAATCTGGGTTGGAGGTTATTTTAGGGATTGAAATGCTTCCCTCCAAGGTCTCCTGGGTAGGATTTTTTTTTTTTTTTTTTTTTTTTTTTATATATATAAAGTGGCCTACTTTTATTTATGTCTAATTTACTCTTTTTTTTTTTTTTTTTTTTTTTTTGGCGGACCCAAGGATTGAACTCAGGCCCTTGCACTTGCTGGGGAAGTGCTTATTCTACTGAGCCATCTCCCCAGCCCCTCTTGACAGGATTTTTATTGAGAAGTCTGCTATGATTTTGATGTGCTCCCTTTATAGGTGATTTGTTCCTTATTCTAACAGCTTTTTATAATCTCTTCTTGGGTTGAAATCCTGAAGTTTCGACTGTTACATTCCTTGGTGTTGATCTATTTTGACCATGGCTAATTGGGGTTCTATACGCTTCACTTATCTTTATGTCAATTCTTTTTCTTTGCTTAGCAAGTTTTCTGCCATTACTTCAGTAAACAGGTTTTTTTTAGTTATTTGTGTTATTTCATGCTGTTTCACTGACTCTAGTCTTATGCTACTCTTCTTATTTTTTAGCAGCTGTTGGACTGATTTTTCATGGTTCCTTGCTTTTTTTTTTTTAATGTATTTGATACAGGATCTCATTATGCAGCTTGGACTCATAGTGATCCCCATTTTTAGCCTCCCCAGCACTGGGATTACAGGTGTGCACCATCACCTCCAGTCTCAGTGGCCAGCTGGGGGGGAAGGGGAGCACACAAGTCATGTGGTGCTGGAAATTGAACCCAGGTCCCTGCACTTGCCTTAGCAAGTGCTTATCCCTTGCTATTTTTAAAAAATCTTTTTTCTTTATGATCTCTAATTGCAATCTTGTGTTCTAGAGCTTTTTTTTTTTTCCCACGGAGCCGAGGATTAAACTCAGACCGTTGTGCTTACCAGGCACGCGCTTATTCAACCGAGCTATCTCCCCAGCCCCGAGTTCTAGATCTGAGACTGTGCTCACACTTGTTCATTCTACTTGCTGCATATACTGCCAATAGAATTTTTAATTTCTTGTATATTTTTGAATCTGTTTTATGGATTCCATTTCTTTTCTATGTTGGATATTTATGGCTTCCATTTTTCAATCCTCTTTTATCTGTATCTGCTCATGTTTTTTATTATGCTCATCATCTTTGTAGTTATCTAAAAATTATTATTTTTTGCAGAACCAGGGATTGAACTCAGACCCTATTCTACTGAGCCATCTCCCCAGCCCCCAAAATTATTTCTGACTATTGGTTTTTTTCTAGAGTCTCATTCATGAGTGTGGTTACTTCCACTTTACCACTACTGAGACCTTCATGGGTGGCTTTTGACCTGCTCTGCCTCATTATCCTTCAGTTTGATTTAGTGAGCTGAAAGTCTAGGGTTGTACCTTGCTGAAGTGTTTTCTCATTTCTTCTTTTTCTTTCTTTCTTTTTTTTTTTTTTTTTGTGGAACCAGGGACTGAACTTAGGCCCTTGTGCTTGCCAGGCAAGTGCTTATTAGCGCTTATTCTACTGAGCTACCTCCCCGGCCCACTCTCTTTAAAAAAAAAAAAAAAAATTTAATTCCTGAGTTGGTACTTATAAATTCCTTATGAGAAGTAGCTTTATTTATTAGTACTAGAACACTCAGGAAATGATGACTTTTTAAGAGATGTCTTCCAAGTATAGCTGGCTTTTGAGTCTGCTGTAGAGATCCTACCTCTTCAATTAGTTGATGAGAAGCTGCTATCTGGCCCAGCCTCTAATTCTTTGGCACTGGCCTACAGTATTTTGTATGACCACTAGGCAACCTCAGTCTTGGCATATCAGAAGAACTGATTAGGACCATTGTCACCTTGGCTAAAGTAATACAATCAAGCTGGGAGTCGTGGTGCGCACCTATAATCCCAGCACTGGGGAGGTTGAGGCAGGAGGATTATTGCCAAGTTTGAGACCAACCTGGGCTACAAAGTAAGCTCAAGGCCAGCCTGAACTCATGAGACCTTGTCTCAAAAAAGAAAAACAAACAAAAAAAGTAATACAATCAGTACCACCAATAACATCAAGCATAGCCTACAAAATGACAAACTGTGATAACTATTAATCTGTTAGCCTTAACTGTAGTTATATATCAGTATCTAAAACAAACTAGAAATTGTAAATGTTTTTGAGAAAAACAAAACAGGCCAGGGGATATAGTTTAGGAGCACAGAGCCTGCCTGCCAAGTGAAAGGTTTTGCAATTTGATTCCTACTACTGAAAAAAAAACAAAAAAGGGATGAGGTGAGAGCTCAGTGGCATAAGCACCTGCTTGGCAAGCACAAGATCCTGAGTTCTATCCCTGGTACTAGAAAATAAAAAGAATTTAAAAGGGGCCAGGGAGATAGCTCAGTGGAATAAGTGCTTCCCTGGCAAGTGCAAGGGCCTGAGTTCAATCCCCAATTCCACCAAAAATAAAATAAAAATAAAAAAGAATTAAAAAGGAGAGAAGAAAAATCAAAACAAAATAGTAAGAGGGCAACAACAACAACAAAAGGGGACAACAATGGTCAATACACCACATTATTATCTTTAAAGTACAAGATATAAGTATTTAGTTGTCCAAACAATATTAGCATAAACCTTTCTTTTCAATGAACTAAACTAGTAGTATAACTATCTTTTTTTTTTTTTTTTTAATGTATTTAGCACAGGGTCTACAAGGTCTCACTACACAGATCAGATTTGTAGTGATCCTTCTGTTTTGTTTCTTTTTTTAAATTTTTTTTTTATTTTAACATTTATTTGTGTGTGTGTGTGTGTGTGTGTGTGGCCAGCTCAGCCCACCAGGGGGCGCGGCTGGCTGGCATGTGGTGCTGGGGGATTGAACCGTGGTCCCTGTGCTTTGCCAAGCTTGTTCCAAGTAGATGCTTTAGACCACTGAGCCATCTCTCCAGCCCTATTTTGTTTCTTTTTAATATTTGTTTTTTTGTTTATTTGTTTGGTATTGGGTCTTGCTCTGCAGCTCAGGCTTGTAGTGATCTTCCTGTTACAGCCTCCCCTGTGCTGGGATTACAGGTGTGTGCCACCATGCCTGGTTTCATTGACTGGCTCAGCATGGGACCAATACGGCATGTGGTACCAAGGATTGAACCTAGGTCCTTACACTTGCAAGGCAAGAACTTAGACCACTGAGCTATCTCTCCAGCCCTGATCCTCCTGTTTTCAGCCTCCCAAGCACTGGCATTATAAGCACGTGCCACCACAGCACGCCTCTGCATCTGCCTAAGCAGGCGCTTTAATCCGCTGAGATATCTGGCCAGCCCAGTAACATAACTATTTTATGTATACATATGTATTTTTTCTTTTTCCTATTCTCCTTTCCCTCACCCCAGTTTTTCTTTCCCTTTGAAATTTTTTCCCATTTCACAATATCTATTGCACATTTTGGATCTTATTTACTTTTTCAGCTTCTCAAACTAGGGAGACAATACGATACTTACACATACTTGTCTGGTTTAATTCACTTATAAGTATGGTCTTCAGTTATATCCATTTAGATATAAAAGTTCCCAGTTAATGACTGAGTAGTACTCCACTGTATAAAAAGACCACATCATTTTCATCTAATCCTCAGCTGATGGGCATCTGAGTTGTTTCCAAAATTTTGGTATTACAAATTGTACTGCTATAATATATCGCTGTGGTATGATGTTTTTCATTTTTCTGGGAAATACCCAGCAGCAAACCAGAAAACCCTATTCAGTAAACAAACCTGCAGTATGACAATTTTATCTTCAAGGAAAAAAATTTAAAAGAGGTTTGGGAAAAATAAGAGAAATAGAACAGAAAGAGATTAGAAGCAAGAGCAGAGATCAAAGTAAGATTACAAAAACTTTGGGAGGGGACCAGGGAGATGGCTTAGTGGATGGCTCAGTGGAATAAGTGCTTCCCTGGCAAGCTCAAGGGCCTGAGTTCAATCCCTGGTTCCACAAAAAAAGAAAAAAAGAAAAAATCTTTGGGAAACTGGTGCAGATCACAGGAGGAAAATAAAGGGAGAGGGGCTGGGGAGATGGCTCAGTAGAATAAGCACTTCCTTGGCAAGCACAAGGGCCTGAGTTCAATCCCCAATTCCGCAAAAAAAAAAAAAGAAAGAAAAAGAAAGAGAGAAATAAAGAACAGAACAACAAAAAACTGGAAATATAGTCACACTCATATAAAAACAAAATCAAGTGCAGGGGCTGGGGGTTCGATCCCCAGGCCTGCCAGTGCCGCCCTTGCCCCTGGGGTGCGCTGAGACGGCAATTGAGACTGGGCATGGTGCTGCGCGCCTATAATTCCAGCTCTTGGGAAGCTGTAAACAGGTGGATCACTACGAGGACAATCTAGTAGTGAGACCCTGAACACCCTGCAGACCCTTCCCTAAAAAAAAAAAAAAAAAAAAAAAAAAATTAAAAATCACTAGAAAAAATAAAATAAGAAAGAAAAAAAATGTCAACTTAAAGGTATGTTTGTGCTGTCACTGGTAGATAAAATGGGCACAGAGCCCAGATCTGTGTTGATTAACACCAGCAACCCAGCACCTTCATTTCTACTAAGGCTCAGGCTGGTTTCTATCTGACACTGAAACTGGATTTGCTCAGCCTACACCATTCCATGTGCCTCCTGCTGGTTTGAGTTTAGCTCCTTGACCTGCAGACTTAAACTCAGTTCCCCCTGATGGTGATATTGGGAGCCTCTAGATGGAGCCAGCCTTCAGCTGCTGTGAGCTTAGGGGCCCCTCTTCAAGATTGCTATCTGCCAATTGCCCTTTCCCAGAGGATGTCTAAACCTAAATAACTCACTAGCCACTTCAGTCCACTGTGTGCACTGCTCTGTTCCACTGCTCTGTTTCTCCATGGATGCCTCTGGGACCCCTGGTAGTCACTGTGCATCTGCAGTTCAAGCCACCCCTCCCACACAGTAAGTCAGGGCTCAGGGAGCAAGTGTTGCTTCCCATCTACCTCTTCTGAGTTCTCTCTTTCCTCACATTTCTACATTTCAATCTCCGAACCCCAAACCTCAGGTTCTGCTGTTTAGCACTCCACCATTTTCCCAAAAGTCCCTCCTACGAATCTTTTTGTTTTGTTTTCTGAGACAGGGACTTAACTGGCTTTGAGATCACTCTGTAGATAAGATTGATTTCCAACTCACTGTAATCTTCCTGCCTTAGACTCCCAAGTGTTAGGATTATAGGCATATTTACCACATCCAACTAAAAAGCTTTCTTTCCAATAATATTCTTATTCTTTATTTTTATTATTTTTTTATGTATTTAGTACAGGGTTTATAGGGTCTCACTACACAGATTGGACTTGTAGTGATCCACCAAACCGTCTCAACCACTATCTCGGTGAGGCCAGCACGGCACACGGGGGAACAAACCCTGGTTCCCTGCATGTGCCTAAGCAGGCGCTTTAATCCGCTGAGCTATCTGGCCAGCCCTCCGATTTATTCTTTTTTTTTTTTTTTTTAATAAGCAGAGGGGCCAGGGAGATGGCTCAGTGGAATAAGCGCTTCCCTGGCAAGCAAAAGGGCCTGAGTTCAATCCCCGGTTCTGCCTAAATAAATAAATAAGCGAGCAGAATATATTTATTGAGGGCAAGAAAGCTCCTGTCTGAGAGGGACAGGAAGGGGGCCTGAGAGGGTTGTCCCAGGAACTCCTATTTATTCTTTATTTTTCTCAAGACAGAAACGTGCAACATTGCCCAAAGCTGGTCTTAAGATCCTTGGCTCAAATGATCTACCTACCTTAGTCTTCCTAGTACCTAGGCTTATAAGGTAACTGGGATTGTACTGCAACTGGCTTACATTTTATTTTTTTGTTGTGTTTTGTTTATGCATTTGGTTGTTGCAGGGTCTCACTATGCAGCTTGGACTCACGGTGCCTGCTTTCAGCATCCCCAGCACTGGGACTACAGGCATGTACCACCACATCTGGACTCTGGCTGGCTCAGCCTGCCCTGGGGGTGGGGCTGGTGCAGCATGTGATGTTGGGGATTAAATCCCAGTCCCTGCACCTGCCTAAGCTTGCCTAAGCAGACACTTTAGTCTGCTGAGCTATCTTGCCGGCCCCTTACATTTGGAAAATTTTAAATATATAAAAAAAGTCAAAGTTTTTACAAAAAATATTCATTACATATCATTAACATTGTTGCTATATTTTAGGTATCTATTCACTTTCTGAAAGCATCTTAAAATGTACATTTTGTGGAAAACTCCTATTTGGTTGGCTTACACTATCTTAGTCTGTGTCCTAGGGCATGAGGAAACCTGGGCAGACAGCCAGTGCCAGTCCCTCAGGGACACTACCATGGAGGTCTGTACCCCATCTAATGCTCATTAAAACCTCAGTTCTCTGCGGCAGAGCCTGTGCTGGCTCTTACAGGCCAGGCTCCCTGGGACCAGTCATGCAGGAAAGGACAGTGAGGAGTACTGCCAGTGACAGAGATGGCTGGCAGCACTGCAAGCTAGGGAAGGGCTTTAAACAAGTCTACCCTAGGCCCAGAAGAAGGCTGAGGGCAGGGTCACCACAGCAAAGCCTACCTCTCCAGAGTCTGGCACACATGTAACAAACTTCTCAGCAAATCAGCAACACAGGGACCCACCTGACTGGGAATTCCACAATTGTGTCAAGCTTATCCCTCCAGTATCTATTGTAGGAGAAACGTTTGAGGTGAACTACTAGAATCTTAGGCAATGACCACAGGTCAAACTTCTTTGTGGCCTGCTGGTGCTTCTTACAGTTGGGACAGTACCTGCAAAGAAAAGAGGGGCAGCCAGTGCCACGTGCTCAAGAAGCACAACCATAAAACATTCCTGTATGCACCAATCAACAGCACAATTTCAGGCAGCAATTCGCCTACAGTCAGGGGATGGCTGTTTTGGTCTGGAACAAACGTCCCACACAAATGACTCTGGGGACAGGGCTGATATCTGGGAAGTGACATACATATCCGAGGACAAGGGGGGGCTCACTCCCAGGGAATGTAGCCTGTAAGGCCGAGGAGCTTCATACCAGGGGTCGTGCTCGCCAAGGGTCTCCATGGTGGTAAAAAGCTCAATACAGTCTCGCAAAGCCACGGAGGTCTTCTTTTTCTTCTGAGGCTGCACCATGCTTACGTGCTTCTCATAGGCCTATAGAGACAAAGTGCTACATTCTGCTGGAGAAACCTCATCTCAGATAAAAAATATGGCCTACTGATGATCACCAATGGACAAACTACTTTTAGAAGCCTCTCAACATAAAAGGACGAAACTTTGAGTGCTTTTCACCCTGTCTCACTTATGTTTTGTGATACTGAGGATGGAACTCAGGGCTTTTGGTTGCATGCTCAGTCTTTTTGAGACAAGGTCTTGCTATGTATTTCAGGCTACCCTCAAATTTGCAATCTTCCTGCCCCTACCTCCTGAGTACATTGTCAGTCTTATACCGTGGTGTTGTCTAATGACAAGCTGGTATCAAGATAATGATACAGGCACACATCTAGAGCAGTAGGCACACACCAATGACCATAAGCCCTTCTTGACATACCTCAGATTCCTGCTCATCATAGTAAAGGCTCCGGGTTTCACTGTCCCAATCAATAGCCAGTGTGGATCGGGCTGCAGAGGAGATCACAGTGTCACTCAACACAGAATGGCCAACAGCAGGAGAGGCTCTTCAAGTGACCAGAATAAGCACCATGCTCAGGCAGCACCAACTACACCTGCTGATCCACCACCAGCAACTGCCAAAGAGCAGTGCCTTGGCCAGTATGTCCCAGCCCCAGTTCCCCAAAGCCTTTGATAAAGCTCTCCTCAGAGCTCCTGATAAGCTCCAAGGCACGAAGTATACACAATTCTAGCAGGGCACAGTCAGATGGAGGAGTAGGGAACAGATTCATCCTCTTAGCTTAAATCAGAAAATTGACAAAGTGCGTGCGTGTGTGCATGTGCTTAAACCAGAAGCCTAACAGTGTGTGCACGTGTGCACATGGGCCTCATGAGACTGAGTATGTGCATGCACGCTTGTGTGTGTGTGTGTGTGTGTGTGTGTGTGTGTGTGTGTGTGTGCAGGCCTCTTCCAGGACCACAGAACTTTACAATAATCAAAAGCTACATTTATTTAATCTATGAGTGAGGATTAGACCCAGGGCCTTTGCACTATACCCCTGTTCCCTTTTTTTTTCTTTTTTGGCAGAACCGGGGATTGAACTCAGGCACTTATTCTACTGAGCCATCTCCCCAGCCCCCTATTCCATATTTATTGAAATAGGATCTTGCCAAACAACTAAGTGGACCAGGTTGGTCAGTATGTCACCATGTCCAGCTTTCTGTATTTTTATGAAACAAAAAGTTACACACAATCTTCCTCATAAGTGAAATAAATCTAAGACAGCCACAGGAAATATCCCTGACCCACAGGTCTTACAGAGTAGTAAGAACGAAGGAAAAACTGCTTCCTGCCCTGTTACCACCAAGCACAGGACAGCCTCGAGGATGCAGTATGCCTGAAAAGTCCACAGAGGGCTGCTGGCCACGGGCCACACGTCTGTTCCTGCAGCCACAGGGAGACTGTGAAGCCTAAAGCAGTGAGTGCTGAAGGCAAGGATTTGCAAACATCTCCAGATTCCCCACAGCTAGCTTGAAATCAGGGATGTGCTTACAGTTGAGTTTGAGCAGTTTTCCATCAGTTGCAAATGAATTTATGTCAGCTGTTCCATAGGAGTTCACAAGACTGAAAGTAAAAAGCCTTCTTGGACAAGGCTGGTCCTTGACTTTCTTTTGGGTGGCCTCACTGGGGTCACCTTCCAGGTTGTCCTCTTCACTGCCTTCTGGCTCTGAAAGCTGCTCTTTGCCTTCATCCTGATGCTCCATTTCTTCGTCATATCCTACAACACAAATGAAAAACAATGTACAGTGGTACCTCAGTTCACTAAAACTTTGCTTGTGAATAGTTTGATTTGCAAACAAATGTGCATGGCAAAATTTTGTTTTTGTTTAAAAACTCTTATCAGGTAACAAACACAACCATCTTGCCCACATAAACACAAAAACATGGCAACGTTTTCCTAAATTGGACAAATTAAGTTCATGAACTGAGATATATATATCTACATATAGATAGATTATGTGTGTGTGTGTGTATATATATATATATATATATATATATATATATATATTTACCATGTAATATTACAAATTTTAATACCTGATGTTTCCTTCCAGATTTTGCCCTATATGGGATTCCTTCTGCATTTGTCAGATACTTGAGGTTACCAGTTACCCTTTCGCAGGAATAAATGCAACAGACCGAGTGAATGCTACTCCCAGTGAGAAAGCAGACACTCAGTGCTTAAACGAGTTGCCTAGAGCGAAGTGACCCTGCCTCTCCATCCTAAACGAGAACACTCTGTCATCTGTGGGATTCACAGCACATGGCTTCGCTCTTGATGTCATCATTAGTTTATAGAGAAAAGGATTATAGTGAGACAGACACTCAACATTCCTTAGGGAGAGTTTGTTAAGAAATGTATGAAAATAAAACCAGAAAAAGGGATGGGGGTGTAGGTCACTAATGAAGTGTCTGCCTACAATGATCAAGACCTTGGGTTAATCTCCAATATGACACATACATATCGTATTATTAATCAGGAAAAAAAATATTCAGCTTCTCCTGGAAAAAGAGAACCTTAATGCTTAAAATGGAGCCTTGTTTTTTGTTGTTGTTGTTTTTCATTTTTCCCCTCCCCTCCTTCCTGTTTTGTTTCCTTGAGACAGGGTCTTGTACTTGCAATCCTGTCTCAGTCGTTCATGCTGGAATTACAGGTGACTGGTTTTTGTTAATGTGGTGGTGGAAGTGGTGGTGGTCGTCATCATTTTGGTTTTTAAGACACAGCCTTGCTTTGTAGTGTAGGCTGGCCCTGAACTCACGATAGCCTCAAACTTGAAGAGAGTCTCCTGCTTCAGCCTCCTGAGTACTAGGATTATAGGCATGTGCCACCACACCTGGTACTGTGGTCATTATTTTAAACATTAATGTTCACTTTCTAGCACTATACATGTCTTGAAGATATGTGATGAATTTGCAATTGAGACATTATAACACTTAAAATTAGAGGTTCTTCCTTTATGGTTGTGAGAGAGAGAGAGGAGAGAGGAGAGAGAGGAGAGAGGGAGGGAGGGAGAGGGAGAGGGCTGAAAGCAGGAGGATCACTGTGAGTCCGAGG